TTTAAATCGGTAGAAGAAAGGAATTTGAGATAATTTGCAATTTTAATGAGACGAGATATATCCTTTTTTATTTTTTTTTTTTAAATAAAATTTAAACAAGATCCTAAATTCCGCTCGTGAGAAATTCCGTGGATGAAAGTATAAACAAGATACCAAGGAGGCTTCGTTCGAATTTACGTGTGTCGAAACACGGTGCTAGTTAGCGTTAATCAACTTACGTAGAAAAGCACGTTTATCGTGGGCAAACTAAAGACAGGTAGAATGAAAGGAAAAAAAAAAAAAAAAGAGGTCTACGCTTGTGAAAGCGAATCTGATAAAAATGCTCGAATTTCAGAAGTATTATACGAGGGAACAATAATAATAATGATTACTATTATTACTATTACGATTATCTTAGAATAATTAATTTGAACGCGCGCTACAATTCCGACTCGATTAAAAATTCGTGGTAATAAAGTTACATAAAACTGGCCGAAAGGGAATCAACGTTTATTGCCGGCCGGTGAGTAATAATTTTTAACGGCCCATAAAGGAAAAGCCAAAAAAGTTGAACGATGTCTGATATCCGATATATCGTATATCCGGCAGAAAACCAGATCGTAACGCGGATCGGCCAATAATAATCGGAGTTAAAATTTCGATTTAAGAGAGAAAGCGAACTATCGAAAAGATCGTTTTAACGCTTTCGTTAAAAACAGTGTCACGCGTAAAGCGTGACATAAAATTCTCCGATTTCATAAATTCCGCCGGTTCGTTAGATTTCGCAAACGCCTCGTAAAACGTATCTGCACACCGTTGACGAACCGTTGCGTAAAATACAATTATATAGAATTATAGATATATTCAGATTCGAAATCCGGACTACGTATTCATATTCTTTCGCGCGTTTCAATTTTTTTAAATATTCTTTAAAAGTTAGGATCCAAAAAATTAAATATTTGGATTCGATAATTCGATTTTCCACCCGATATGTAGTGGCTGAAAGGATGGTATCGAAAGAAAGTATCGATCCTCGAGACGATTTATGGAATGGCAGCGTGGAAATAATAGAAGACCACCTGTTGGATGACGCGCACGTGGCCGAGCAGTGGTCGCCATTCCTCTCTGTGCGAGTGATACAAGGCAACGGATCCTCTCTCTCTCTCTCTCTCTCTCTCTCTCGTTAATCGCAGTGATACACGATGGATTTTATAAAGTTATCGCAGGTGGTCTCGGCCGATCGAGGTGAAAGAAAACGGGAAGAGACTCGATTGGATAATTAATGAACCGGCGCTCGTTTTCTCGTTGGAGGAGAGCGTGTTTATTGGTTCGTTGCGAAGTGCGAGTTGGTTGACAAGCGTAATAATCGTTCCACTTGTTGCACGGACTCGCTTAAAAAAAAGAAAGGATCTTTCTTGGAGTATGGAAAAGAAGCATTCCTCGAGCTCGTTTCCAAAATTTGAGTTCTACCTTCCGATAGGAAAAGAGAACGAAGGTTAATCAAATTGGGATAATTCCGAAATTCCGACTAATTTAGACGCGTCGTTTCGACTCAGCTACAAGTATACTCGAGATCTCGAGTATACAATAATCGTCGGCAGCGCGAATTCAAAGAGGGTCGAAATCCATTGTCGGTCGAAACGAAATAAATCGGCCGATTTGAATACGATAGGGAACCGTAAGTTACAGTGAATTAAACCATTCTTCATATCGTGACATATTTTATATCCTGCCATCACAACCGTCTGTTAATCATTGCTCAGCCGGGTATAATTTATCGTTGCCGTGGCAAAAATTGCGAACACCGTAACGGTACGTAGTGTCACCTTTCTTTCCCTCCCTTCTTCCCTCCTCCCTTTTTTTTTTTTTTTTTTTTTTCCAACAACACGACACCACCACGCGAACACGTACCTCTTAACTATGCTAATTTCAAATCGTAACTCACGCACGCTTTACAATTACGTATAAATGTATTCATTCATAAAATTGATTCAAACGTTAACAACACGTTACGTTACAGGAGGGCGAACACGCGGTGATACACGCGTTGGCGCTTTCTTTCTCCACCTTCGCTTTGCTTTTTCTTTTTCTTTTTTTTTTTTTTCAACTGACAAATGCGCGATGCATTTGTCAAGCGAGGAACATCGCGTTAGATGCGATATCGCGTAGAGCGTGCGAATTGTTTTGCAAGAGAGTTGTTGGATCTGTTGGTCTCTTTCGAATAAGTAAGTGATTTATTTCGAGTAAGTGAGTGAACGGTGGAAAGAATGTCTCGTTGGAGAAAGAATGTCCGATCGGAAGGAATTTGGAAGGAAATATTTTCACGCACAATTTTTGTCGCCTCTTTTACCATGGTATTCGTCACGTAAGTAAACGACGTGCTTAAAAATCTCTGCTTAAAAATCTGTGCTAAAAAATTTGTTTTATTTCTCGTAATTTCGCGTATAAAAAACTAATTACGATTCGTAACGATGGTTTAATTTATAAATGTAATTGTAATTGTACACGAATAAGTTAAGATATAATATATACATATCGATAGTTATATCGAAATAATTAATAGAAAATATTTCAATCTATCGTAAATGAAAATAATATAAATATAACAATGAAACGAGTGAAGCGGAGATGACCGGTCTTGATGATGAATGAATAATTTCTAATTGGTTTGACGTTTATTCGCGATTATTATTATATTTCGAATAATAAAATGAAACATCAGAACCAACTTTATTCGTAACTTTTCGAACGAAGGATCCCCTGTACGAGACTTCTCTCCATCAGTAGATGCTGCTGCTGGCGAGCTGCTGGAAGAAATATTTTCCAATAAAAGAGAGAGAGAGAGAGAGAGAGAGAAAGGAAAAGATATTTTCGAAAAAATTGGCGATACTTTATCTCGTCCTTTCCGTATCCTCTCAAGGTTCGAGGGGGAACTCCCGTTAATTGCGCGCTCGCGAGTATACCGCTCGGATTACGCTTCCGGCATCTAGACAGCCGAGAATTTCAGACGAGGAACCGGGTGGAATGCGACACGGCTCGCAACGGATCCTCGCCGCTTAGACGATATATAGACGAGGAGGAGGAGGAGGAGAGAGAGAGAAAAAAAAAATAAGCATGCCTCGCATTCGATAAATCCTTATCGAGGCTTAATTACGCGTCATACTCTTTTTCTCTTTTCGTCTGAAAAAACAACAATCTCTCGATATCCAGTTTTTTTTGCAAGATTTCGCTAATCGTGAAATATCACCTCTGTGATTAGAATTTGACTAGGAGGATTGATTGATGGAGTGGAGGTAATGATCGATTGGTAGAAGCGAGAGGGCGTTTCGTCGCGATGACCTTTGGCGCGTCGGCCATTGCACAGGAACACGGAAAAGAAGAAGAAGAAGGGCTTACGAAACGAGATCTCGCGAGCCGCATTCGTAATGGACGGATTCGACGGCGCTTTATAAATATGCAATAGATGTGTGTACCCGGGGCGAGAAGAAAAAAAGGCGATTAATATTAATGCGATACGATCGAGTTGATTTTATCGATTCTTTTGATGCGGTGATCGAGAGAGGAAGATGTTCGCTTCCCTTCGCGGGAGGAGGATTGTGGCTTCGATAGGAATATTTTATTCGAGATGTCGCATCGTGTAAATAGAGAAAAAAAAGAGAGAAAAAAAAATCGTGATTCTTGACCCGTCGTCGTCCCGTTTCCCGTCATTGCAAACATTAGAGAACGGATTTATCTTTAGCACGCGCGTGAAACGCATCATCTTATCTAACAGCTAAACAATCGATAACACTGCGGTATTGAGTTCGACCTACTTTACCTTACAATATGAACAGCGAAGGTTTTCAAGCTTATTACGCGCGTACGTAAGCGCGAAAGGAGCGCGTAATTTTTAAATCGAGAAGCGGATATTTTCGCTCGATTCATTTCAAAAGAAGAAAGTGTAATAAAGTATAATATTTCGCGAAGAGAGAAGACTCGAAGAAGATTGAATTAACGTTGCGCGATGTTGCAAAGATTTGTAAAATAGGAAAAAGAAAAAATGAACCATCGTTGCAAATTATTAGAGATTTTCGTGAAACGCGTCGATCGTCCGCGTCAAGTGTGCATTAAGGAAAGATAAATTGTTGACACCGAAACGTCTACGATTTGTCATCGTTGATTGGAAATAGATATAACAAAAGATATTGTTCACGATGAATTCATTCAACGATTTTATAAATAAGAAGAGAATTAAATCCATTCTCTTTTCTTCCTCTTTTAATCTCAAAAAAAAAAAAAAATCAACGCCTTTTGTTCCAATTTCAAAAAGTTTCCAAGATAAGCCTGTACGAAAGCTTTTCCTTCGATACGAAATCTTATTCTCCATTCCACGAGGAAGGAAAGATTCTCCCCACTCTTCCAATACTTTTTCCTCAATTTCAAAGAGACTCGCTTCAAAATGGTTCAAAAATTCGACACGTTTGTTCGAGAAATTTTATTGCTTTCGTTCGACCAACTCGTCGAAATTCCACTTTTCTCCGGAATTTCAAAAAATTCCGACCTTTCCTTCGACGCGTTCCGTCCACGCGAAATATCTTCTCTCTTCTTCTACTCGAAAAAAAAAAAAAAAAATTCCAGCGCTGATCAAAGCTGGACGCGATTGTTTACGCGACGTGACGTAACTCGAGCAAAAAGTCGGAGAGAAAAATAAAAGAGAGAGAGAGAGAGAGAGAGAGAGGAGGCAAGGCGAAGATGAGTGGAGCAAAGCAGGAAGGTATGGAAAAAACGGGAGCACCGGATCTCGCGACAGATCCATCTCCGATGGATCCAGGGAGAGGTCGGCTTCTACACCCACGTGCGCCTGCCTCGTAGCCACGGAGAGGAGGATATTCGGGTTTCCCCGAGGAAGGAGGAGGAACGAACGCGAGCCGCGAACGAAGAAGAAGAGGACGCGAGAGGAGAGGGCAAACGCGGCTAATGGTAATGGTAGCAAGCCAGTGTCTCTCGGGCCGCCGTCCAAGCCGGTACATATCCACGTCGTGGTCCACGTGTGCTCGCTCGCTCTCTCTCTCTCTCTTTTTCTCTCTCTCTCTTTTTCTTCTATATCTACCTCTCTCTCTCTCTCTCTCTCTCTCTCGCTTTTTCATCCTCGAGGATTTCGAAGCAGGGACCGAGCGCGTCCGTGCGTGTCCCTGCTGCCGTTGGAACCGTTCACCTTCGAGGAGGAGTCGATCGAGAGCGGAGACGGGTTCTTCGATTCTCTTTTTCTCTTCCGGTCACCGAGCTCCCCCTCTCGAGATCACCTCCTCCTCCTCCTCCTCCGATATCCTTCCCGGAGATCCGACCTTTGGCGAATCTCCGAATCTCCGACTCTCTTCCACCTGCATCCAAACGTTGCATCAAACGTCAAAGATTTTCCTCTCCCGCGAGGATCGTCGATTCACTTTTTTTTTTTTTTTTTTTTTTTTCTTTCTTTCCTTTTATTACGATCGAGAGATAGCATCGAGCGAGAGAGTCGAGTCGAACTCCTCGAGGGTGTTCGTTCGCCGTTTCGTTCGAGGGAAGGAACGCGTGAGAAAAGAAAAAAGGGAAGGGAAGGGAAGGGAAGGAGCATGACTCGATCGAATTCGATCGATTCGGATTTTTCGGTTATATAATATCTCGCCGTCTCGTGTCCCGGGACGGCGCGTTGCGTTTAGGCGAAAGGATCGTGAAAGGGGGATCTTTGCTATCCCTCTTCTTCGTTCGACGAGACAGGGGAGTAGAAAGAGTTGAGAAGTCGGATCGTGATAAATTGGTGGATCGTAAAGATAAGGGGAAGCCATCGAACGAGGATCGTTTATGAAAGACTCGTATTCAAATATCGTTTAATGGAATTCTTCATCGTTGTTCCTGTGACGAAATCAGCGAACAAGAGGAACGAGGATGAGATTATTTTAAAGAAACGGAAGAGGTGGTCCGAGTGGGGCAACGGAACGGCAAAGTGACCTCGAGATTTATATTTATCTCGAAATAGTGCACCGCGTTTTTAAATATATAAAATGCGTTTCTAAACGAAACATTTTATCAATCAACGTGATCAACGTGCGAATGCAAACAGTGATCAAGATGACAAATGTTTGCTCTTTGAATCGTCGTCCGCGCGAGTAAGTATAATTAAAAACCGAGGTTCCCCCCCCGCAGGAGGGGATCGTCTCCAATTAACGTCTCCAATTAACGTTATCGAAGACACGTGTTATCCGGACACCACTGTTTTTTTTCTTCCTCCTTCTCCTCTCTCCCTCCCCCTCTTTCTCTCTCTCTCTCTCTCTCTCAACGAAACGATCGAGCGCGCGTTACATCTCGTGAATCGTGCTTTGTGCGTCGAAATTTGATATTTAATCCGATTTTTTAATCCATCCCCTCCCCTCTGTTAAGAGCAGCGAGCATTCGCGAGTGTTCTCTCCCTTTCCGACGAACGAAACACCCGTTGTGCATACCCGCTTCGTGACAATTGTTTCGCCCCTTCTCGACCAGTGAACAAATTCCCCGACACTGCCTTTCAAAAGAGGAAAAGCTCAACTGAACAACCGTCGAAGAAACTCGATTAATTAAACTCGATTCGATCCCATCCCATCCGAAAAGAAGATCGAAAGAAAGGTAATTGTTGGTGGCGAGGGAGGAGGCGGAAAGTGAAGATCGTTCCCCGAAAATCGAGAGATAAACGAGAAGGATCCGTCCCCACCCCCCTCGATATCCCCCCGAAGGAAGATGAGAGGGGACGTTGCGAGCATGGGGTAGAAAGATGCGGCCCGGAAGGTCAGCTTGGACCCTGGCCGTGGTGGCCCTCGGAGTAGGGGCCTTGTTCCTGGTCGGATGGCGGATGGGCGGCGGCGACGCGTTGTCTTCTCCGTCGATCGATTCGGCTTATTTCGCGGTGGACGTCGCGTCGTCCGGGCCGCGAGGTCGCATTCGCCGCGAAAAGGGGCAGGAGGAGGAGGAGGAGGAGGAGGAGGAGCGGAGAGAAGGGGAGCGGGCAGGGATCGAAAGGAAGGATCGATCGGCTTCCAGTCGAGATTATTCACAGAGAGACGAGAGGCGGGCGCGCTCGAAGGGAAGTTCGCCTCCCTCGAATCTCGAGAACGGCTCGACGATCGACTTTGGGAGGAGGAAGAGGGACGGGAATGGATCGAGGAGTCACCGTGCCACGGATGATAAATTGTTGTTTTTCCCTTGGACGAGGAATTTGGAAAACGGCGAGGAGGAGGAGGGGGAGGAGAGGGAAGAAGCGATTTTGCGAGGGAATCTCGACGACGACCACGACGATGAAGGCGAGCAGGGGTCGAGGAGTATAGGTTGGGGGGGAGATAAGGTCGCGGTGTCGAGCGAGGTTGCGAAAAGGGGAGGCGATTCAACGAAAATCTCGTTTCCATGGAATCCGGAGAGAGAGGAGGACGAAAACTCGAGGAGGTATTCCTCGGAGAGGGTTCGTTCGCGAGAGAGTTTCGAGGGAGAGGATGAATCAACGAGTTATTCGGTGTCGAGCTCGTCTCCATTACGTAGTTATCCCGTGGAAAAGTCGCTTCCCTTATCGAGTCTTGAAACGAAGGAACGACGCATCGAGGGTGAGAATCTCGAGGGTAAAGATTCATCGATTAATTTCGAGAAAAATTACGAGGAAAAGCGGATCGATCGTGGTTCGAAGGAAGAAAATTCGCTTCCTCCGTGGAATTTGGTCCTCGAAACGGAGATCCTCGATCCTCGAGAGGAAGACGAACGGGCGAAGAGTCGAAAGAGAAGCGAGAGTTATCGGGAGGAAAGTGGATCGAGACGAGAGAATGACCGCGAAGCGAGTCGCGAGGATCCAATTACAAAGGGGATCGATCTCCCGTCGTCGCGGAAGAGACGAAGGGGAGAGGATGGGACCGGGTTTTCGACGGACGACGACGGGCGGAGGACGAGGACGGGCGCGTTGAACGGGTCGAGTGAAAGGAGCAGCAGCGACGTCGAGGAGAATTTGTCGCGCGAGGTGAATGGGCGATCGATGAATGAAGTCGAGAAGAGTTCGGGGCGAAGTTACCACTACCTCGGCTCGGGCAACGGCAACTCGTTAACGTCGCGGGGGGAGCCCGATGCACGCGCGAACCGAGGCGAAACCGAGGCGAAGAAAGTGGAAAGTATCGGCCCCGAAACCGAAACCGAATCCGGCCACCCCTCGAACCGACCTCGTTCCAACGAAGAAGGGTCGAGGAGGCGAGTCCCGTGGAATGCAAACAAGGAGGATCGATCGATCTCGATCGAAATTGGGAACGAGATCGTGGCCGATTTCCATAATTCCGAGCGGGCAGACGCGGTGGAACGAGGGTATGGACGAGGCGGGGAATCGATCTCGCCCGATTCCTACCCTCCAGCAACGCCACGTCTGTTTTTTCGTCGGGACCGCGGATCCACTCGATCTTCCGCGAACACGTTCCACGTTCCGTTCGTGAGTGGGGAAAGGGGTCGAGGGAATATCCTCGAGGGGAGATCCTCCCCCCTCGAGGTCCACTCTCCAACCATCGATATTCGCGGGATGGACGAAAACTTGGAAGATGGCGATGATTCGCGTTTGGAAGGATCGCTTCGCTTCGGAAGGGAGGAATCGTTCGACGAGGAGTTTCTGAGCGCGGTGGAGGAAAGGCACGGGAAGGAGGAGGAGGAGGAGGAAGAGGAGGAGACGGGCGACGAATGGCCGAGGGGAGTCGCGGGACGAGAAAGATCGTCGTTTCGAAAGATCGAAGGTTCTCACCTGCACGGTGAGAAACGAGCGGGTCGAATTCGTGGAAGGAGGTACGCGAATTACTATTCGCAACAATCCGCCACCCCCATGGCGTACGTGCACATCCAACCGGTGTATCCGGTGGCGCAGGCCCCACCACCGAACCGGAAGTGCGTACAATGCATGGTTGTTTACAAACCTTGCCCATCCACGCCCAGACAACCACCTTTCCCAACGTATAAGTATCAGGAGCTGGCTTCCAAGTGGTTCGGGCTTAAATATGGTAAGTGATCAAGGAACGAATAATACTCGCGTCTCCGGAATCGCTGATTACGCGTCATTATACTCGATATTTATTTAATTATAAGGGATATTAAGCGGAGGGGAAGTTTCTAATCGTAATAGAATTAAAGCGTCGTTACAAATGGAATCGTGTTATTAGTTCTAATTATAGCCGAGCGACTGTGATTATATCCGTGCCGTTGCGGACGAATGAGAAGAGAATGGGCGCGGTGAATACGCGTTTAAACTTTATTTAAACGTTCATACTTATATCATTTTTTTCCTTTCGAGAGAGAGAGAGAGAGAGAGAGAGAGAAAAGAAAAAAAATACCGTTGATATCGAATAACGAAACGATAGGATATCGTGTTCCTCTTGAAGAAAAAGCGAGGAAGAGGATCCTCGTGATTCGAAGTCGCTAAGAAACGAGCCTTAATTACGCTTTTTACGCTACTTTTTTTCGCGAAATTCGCTGAAACCTCGTCCATATCCCCGGACGTTGATTGCAATTTATCGCCGCGCCGTTCCATTCCTAGAAAAACCACGTGGACATCGGTTAATGAGGCTCGCGTTCGAGGCCTCCTCGAGTTCGCGGGGGTCGAAGGTCGGAATCTCTCGATCGACCCAACACGACCGCTCCACTCGACTTCCGTTTTCTCTCGTCTGCCGTTGAACGACCCCACACCTTAAGATTCGTTTCGTGGAATTGAATTTTTCGAATATCTTTTCTTTTTTTCTCTTTTTTACTCGATTTATCGTCTTACTGTTGGAGTTAGTTTCCAGATGCGATGTTACTTAATTATCTTTTCTCAAATAATTTTCATTCGTCGAGGTAAAGAAACACGATGATTAATGGTACGGATGGATAATAGGATATATATATATATATATATATAAATAGATAATAAAATAATATTCCATTATCTAAGTGTGTCATCAACGTTCCATCCATGCAACTTCTTAAGCAATAATACTTGTTTATTGATTTCGATGTTTCAAGGAAGTATTGATTATATTCGCTGGGTAAAAGGAATAATAAGGATGAATAAGGCAAATGGAAAGGAAAGTTGTATAGGCACGTACCATTGAGGAGAAACTAAAAATATCGGCATATCAACGTGGCGGCAGATGTACGCGTGCATTCGCACGTAGAAAAGTGCGTGATGTCTGGGCGAAAGTGTGCGCGAGTAGCGATGGCTTCGAGAGACTCGCGATTCGCTGTTCGAACAACAGACGGAGCGCCAAGTTTGCAAGTTTAAAATTTAAAAAGATAATTCTATCGCTCTTTACATTTATCTATCTCGATCGTTCCTTCTCGATTGATTGCTGCGAATGAAAACTTGATAAAAACTTGATTTCGTTTTAAAAATTTAGAAAATTATCTAATCTAAAACGTGGATAAAGATTTTTAATTTTCGATTTATGATAATATCGATGATATTTATACGAATGTTTATTAATCGATGTTTATGCAAAACGAAATTTGTACAAAGAAAAATAGAGGCTTTCCTTCCCTTCTCCCAATATTATTCCCTAGATTTTCTTATATATACTTTGCATAAATTTGTAAACGAACAATCTTGGTAATTGCGAAGGAAACCTATATAATCGTGTATAAAATAAATTATTTTTTTCAATCACATTGCATTCACATTTAAACACTTACGTGACAACTCAAATATTTGTCTTATACGAATACGAAAACATTATAAATTCACCGAGTCGTTTATGCGCGTATAAACGCGTTGAACTTGACTCCATCGCTATGGAGCGATGAATCAATGTCTCAACACGTTCTCTTTATCCAGGAAACGAGCGTTTCTGAACGATACGAATCAGAGTTTACTTGCTTCTCCTCGATGAAACGCAATCGGAAACGGAAAAGGTGTTCGCGGAATAAACGATTAATTTACGTAATTGTTACATATTCATCGATCCTGCTTCTTCAAACTTTTTGTGGAATATTGTTTGCAAATCGACCATTTGCTTATCTTGAAATTGATATTCAATTTGCAAATTACGACCATTTGCTTATAATTAAAATCGGCAATTTTGATTGAGTTTGAAAATATATTTCTTATTATTTAATTTACAAAATTACCTTGTGGTATCGAGATTAATTAACTTTTGCAATAATCTCTTCGATCGCCATCTTTTCGAACAATTAACAGTTTACAACATGTTTTCACGCCGCTCCGCCAATTTTTTACTTCCTTTTTTTACTTCCTCGTCGTTTTACGGATTCCCATTAATTACGTCACGAATGCGGTTAATGACCGGTATCAATCACAAGAACGTTACGACGTAATCGAATTGAATCCCGATTCTCCACGATGGCGGAGCGTGGAAATGCCCGTTTCTTCGCTGGCCTCGGCAGGAACGTTTTGTTCCTGGCTTTTTTAATTAACACCATCAACCGATATTAATTACATTTTTTTTTTATCTGGCCCACACACCATTTTCATTATTGTGAAATTAATTTTTTCTTTCTCTCGCCCAACTTTCTCTTAGCAGAATGAATCTATTAAAAGGAAAAGGCACTTTTATTTATTTTTTCTAAAAATTTATCTTAATATAATTTATAACAATTATAATACCTCCAAGTATCGTTAGAGTATCGTCGATTAAATACTTTGAACATTTGCCCGACTCGTATCTCTAAAACTACTATGATTCGATGCAATACATTCCTCGTATGCGATATAACGCGATAGATAGAGTATTTTTTTGACGAATTATTATCTCGACAACGATCGAACACTATTTACACTCGGTTCGTTTCGATACGAACAAATTTTAGATTATTATCCGATATTAGATATTGAAATTGACAATCGTTATTCGAACGATACGATATAAGGGAAACGGCGTGGATCGTGGGAAGCACGAGTGGGATCGTGTGGTAATTAAACTCGGTGGTGGTCCTCGATTAAAATTCCAAATATTAACATCGACGCGCATTTTCGCAATTAGTGGCCGATAATAATGCATCATCGAGCGATGGCATCGAACGATTATTAAAAAAAGAAATCTTTGTTTCGATTAATTACGTATTTAGCGACCATGTTATTCGATTTTTTTTTAATCGAAGAGAAAAGAGACCAAAAGTTTGATAAAAGCAAATCTTACTACGGAGGATTCCGAATTCTCAATTAAATTCGTTTCGAATGTAAAATTATTGTTCTGAAAAGAATTTTTAATCATAGACGGGAGATGATATCGCGTGAATATTATTAAAAAAAGAAATCTTTGTTTCGATTAATTAGGTATTTAGCGACCATGTTATTCGATTTTTTTTTAATCGAAGAGAAAAGAGATCAAAAGTTTGATAAAAGCAAATCCTACTACGGAGGATTCCGAATTCTCAATTAAATTCGTTTCGAATGTAGAATTATTGTTCTGAAAAGAATTTTTAATCATAGACGGGAGATGATATCGCGTGAGTATTCGCGAGCCGATGCAGAATCATTCGTTGTACCGGGCTTGTGAGAAGAATCTCGTAACACGGTTCTTTATTAGCGCACCGCTCGCACACACCTTTATTAACATTCCGTTCGGCGACGGTGCAACGATGTCGATATAGAGGATGCGCCGATGATCGTACAGAATTTTATGCTTCTTGGTTATTAATGGCAGCGAGATACGAATCGAGCATTGGTGTTCCGTGTAACAATTTGCAATCACGGTTGCTTCCGTGTTTTTCAATTTTATTTCTCCAAAGAGTAAATTTATTTCTCTCTAAAGGTTTCGAAAACTTTGAATTTCGAGTAAAGGTATAGTTTTAAATTAAAAAAAAAAAAAAAAAAAAAAAAAAAACTATTTGGAACGGGGAAGAAACGATGCATTCGCAATTCTTGAGTTAAATCGTTTTCCAGCCTTTAATTTTTCCGTTTTATCGCGTCGAAGAAACCGCAATTTCGTTGATTGTACGTCGGTAAAAAAGAAAATCACTAAATCACCACGGCGCAAGAGGTCTGAAGTAATATAAATTTAAGAATAATGCGATTGCACACGCGTCGTTTTGAGCGACAAGTATGAAAAATGAATTAAAAAAAAAAAAGTCTCGAGCAATTTAGTAGATAAATTTCATTTCACATTCGACAAAATGCAATAACTGTAAAATGTCAGTTACGTTTCCTTTTATCGAAAGAACTCATCGTTGAGGAGAGATTCGATTTTGGACAAGATTTGTAATTTTTGTTTTTCTTTTTTTTTTTTTTCTCGTCGACAAGGTTGTCGACCTTCATTGCGAGCAAAGTAGCCCGGTTTATAACAGGTTTATGACAAAGGACACTTTACATTTAATATTTCAACACGGTACATCCAATGCATATTTATATTAAACATGAACCTGTCATTTTGGTAGTTAAGCGGCGAGCGTTTTAAAAATGGTTGCCGCTGACCCCTGTCATGATGTATAAATTGCATAACGAATGAATGCATGTAAATTATCTTTTGATCACCGCCATTTGAAAATTCTCGTGAAATATCACGATTAATTCCGCGATTAATAATATCGTTGCAAGCGGGTAAAGCTGATTTTTACCTCGTTATTAAACATAATATCGAGCTATCTTAAATTTTTGAAACGGTAACAAGTAAAAGTGTATATTTATCCATACGTGTTTGCTTAGAATCGTTTCAATTATTTTTCTCATTTATAATTACGTATCATTAAACACAATAAAAATAATGTTATCCTCGATTTAACTATTTTTATTAACTGTCGTATAATTACTCGATCATCCTCTAATTTTTCTTCATACATTTACCGATATAAATGAAGAACGAGTAGTTGCGTTTACATCGGCAGATTTTCATTAAATCGCAACACAAAGGAATATTTTTCTTTCGTTCTTTCTCGAAAAGAATCGAATAAAATAGGAGACCATGGGACAAAAGAATATATCTTTCCTCCATTGAAAAGATCGAAATAAAACATTAAGTATCCACAATAGAATCATAGCATTTCCACGAAAATCGGCAAATTGTCGGCGAGTCGGGTTGCTCGAGCAAAGCATTTTTAGCAGAGCGCTGCTCGACTGGTTAATCGAGTCGTAAATTACATTTTCACAAGAGTTCGGTTGTACCGGCAAGGCTGGGTCATCTCGTCTCGCGGTGTTTTATTTACTAGAGAAAATAAAAAAAAAAAAAAAAAATGTCCTACCTATGATCTATCTCGCGCGTGTTTGAGCAAACGAGGGATGAGTTATGGCGTTGAAATAAGAGTAAATAGCAGCAAGCGCGGTTGGATAAAGAGTTGAAGGATGTTGTAACATCATCGTAGATTACGCTTATCATCACTGTCGCGATGCTTCGACGACCCGATGTTTCGTTCTTTCGTTTCCACAACCTCCAATCCTACCACGATAAAATATAATTCGATCCTTCGTTTTCAACGGAGGACCCAAACAAACATCTAACTCTCTCTCCCCTAACCATTCGCACCAAGCGAATTCTGTCGATCGGCAGACGAGGCGAAAATAGGTTGGTCGGGCTATTTATGCAAGAAGTGATCAAAACAACGACCACGATCGGAGAGTGGTCGCTAAGGCGGGAACGAGAGTCGCTTGGACAGAAGATAGACGACGGATTAGGAAAAGAGAAGAGAAAAAGGAAAAAAAAATAGGAGGGTAGGACGGTTGGAAAGTTCAGAGGTTAGAGAAAGGAGTTTGTACGAAGATCGGCCTTGTTTCCTTCCCTCAGGAGGATGCGATGCAAGGAGTTGCTGCGACGCATTCGAGCCGGTTCGATGCGATTTTCAACCGTTCTTGCGGTGTATGCATATGTATCTTATATATATATATATACATTTTGTCCTGTGGTATCTCGTCTTGATTTCTACGAATATTTGTGAGGAATACATAAATCGTTGCTCCTAAATTTTATTCTTCCGATTGTTAGGTAATAATAATTTTCTATGGTTACGTAGAAGAATTGCATTGTTTATGAATTATTCCGCGATTACATGATAATTTATAGTTAATAAACCTCTCGTTCTGTATTTTTCTCTTTTTTTTTCAAACTCATTATTACCAGAAATATATTCCTCTTCTCGATCTTCTCTCGTAACGTGCAATTTACACTTCCTTAAAACGTTTAACCGTGGCATTAAAAAAAAGAAACCAACTTGAAAAAAAAACTTTCAAACCATTCTCATCAAGCAACCGTCGTAAACTCACAATCCCCGCTCGGACATATCATTACACCTTTGATTTCACCACATATTTTACCATTTAATCTCAGTGATCTTTCTCCAAAAAGCACATTCGCCTAACTACAGGAAAACGCGGTTAATAAAAAAAGGGAGAAAAAAAAATTTCAGTTTTCCTCCCTGATAATTTATCGACAACTAATTCGATCTTTACACACGCGACTTTACAGACGCGAAATATTCTCGGAATCGTACTTATAATACCGGCATTTATAATTATGTAAATCAGTCTCGATTAAATCCTAAAGGGAGTTCCTTCCTCCTTTATCCCCCTCTTTTCTCTCCCCTCCTTTGCCACCTCCAACGTCGTCTCCTGTCGTCTCGAAAAAAAAAAAAGAGAGAGAGAAAGAGAGAGAGAAACGAATGGAGGCACGCGTGTTATTTCTGGGTAATCTGGGAACCAAGAAACGTATGGTAAATTTCTGCCGTTAACTGAAATTCTTCATTCTTCGTCTCTCTTCCCCCCTCCCCACCCTGTCCTATCTTAATCGGCTTGTTTATTCTCGGTTGAGTATCCGGTACAATGGCAACGCGCGCGACAATGGTCGTGATCGAAGGCAGAGAGACAGAGAAAGACAAACAGAGAGAGAGAGAGGCTAGAAGTAGAAGTAGATAACGGTACCCGCGTGCCTCGCGAATCTTGCCTTCCTTTCCGACATTGCCAAGGGCTTCGTATCCAACGTATCGATATCCCTGAAGATTCGTCCGTATCGTTTCAATTTCACGATTTATCCTCGATAAATTCGACTATGTTTGACCATGTTTGAAGATGTTTGAAGAAGGAAGAAAAAAGAAAAAAAAAGAAAATGTAAAAACGTTTTATCGTGGAAGCGCAGATTCTGTTCTGCTGTTCGTCCGTGAAAAATTCGTGAAAATTCTCGAAGAAGGGAGGAGAAGAGAGAAAAGGACATCCACAGTATACGTACACCACATAACACAAAGTATAAACCGTCGAAATTCCGTTTCAATTACACGATTTATCCGTCCTCGATATCCCCTCGATAAATTCGACTATGTTTGATCGTGTTTGAAGATGTTCGAAGATGTTTGAACATGTTTGAAGATGTTTGAACATGTTTGAAGAAGCAAAAAGAAACAGAAAAGATGTAAAAAACGCTTTTTATCGATCGTGTGAGTTGTTATCGTTGTTCACTCACGTGAAAAATTCGTGAAAATTCTCGAGGAATGGGGAGGGGGAAGGACACGTTCGCAAGGACACCCAGTATACCAATACACCATATAACACACAAGGTATAAACCGCGAGTACGCTCACGTATGCGGATAATACCTGAGTAGTTGGTATCCGGTGGTGCATCTACTACGTTTTGTTTGCCTCGCACGCACATGGATTAGAGGCCCATAGCGCTGGCTTGCATTACACCTGTTATTGAATAATAACACGTGTGCACTCGGATCCGACGAAGGAGAGAGAGAAAGAGAGAGAGAGAGAGAGAGAGAGAGAGAGAGAGAGAGATGCGAACGTGTTC